CCACTGAGCTATAATCAGGATATCAGCAGTACCTCATTCTCCAAAAGCCCAAGACAGCGTGCATTCATTGTTCCTCGCAGTGGTGGCCTACAATCCTGTACCTGTGGCCACATTGCTCCTATCTCTGCTCTATTGTATATAATCTGTCTCTAACAAAAATAGTCATGGAGCTGGTAAGATCCCTAGAATCCTCATCATGGAAGGAAACAATCAGCTCACAAGTATGTTACCCCACAAAATAATTGTTTTTTAAAGATATTTTTTAAAAATTATGATAATATTTAGATCCCACCTTCATAATCTAGGATAATATCCCCATCTCAAGATCTTTAACCTTGTCATATCTATGAAGTTCCTTTTTCCAAATAAAACCACAACTATAAGTTCTTGGGATTAGGACATTATGCCATTGGGGCCTATTATTCAGATAGATGCAGAGAGGAAAAACTACACAGATAGGTTAAATATATGACAGAAGATCAGTCTAAGGAGAAGACCTTAGAAGAGTTTATCATGGCGAAGAGAAAATAGCAATATTTGTATAGTTAAAATTATATTGACTAGAATATAGTGTGTCTTTGATTCAGTGTGTGTATGTGTGTGTATGTCTGTGAAAACTGCATATGTATGTCGAGACCATAGCAGGACTTGAGTTGTCTTCCTTATTACCTTGAGACAGCATCTCTCACTGAACCTGAGGCTAGTCAGCCCCAAACTCCCACAACCAACTTGTTGCCACCTTTCTGTTCTGGGGTTATGGAGATAAGTGTCTGTGTGGGTACTGGGAATTCACACTTAGGTTCTCCTGTTTGTTTAGCAAGCAGTTCTTATCCGTTAAGCCATCTTCCAAGTGCAACAAATGTTTTTTGCATGTGGTACTGGATTGAATTCAAAACTGCATACATAATAACCATACAGTTGTCTACTAAGCTCTCTGTCTTAAAAGTAACCTTTGTATCTTAGAATAATTAATGTTACTCTGTAGATCATAGATCACTGGTGAATCTTTTTTAAAACAAGCATTTGTGTGTGCATGTGTGTGTGCATGCATGCATACATGTGTGTGTGTTTGTGTGTGTGTATGTAGAGGGGGCATATGCATATGTATGCCATTGTGTAAGTGCATGTGTCAGAAGACAACTTGCAGGACTTGATTCTATCTATTGTATGCGTTCCAGGACACAGATTCTTTCCTAAAAATTGTTCACATTGTCTCTGCCTAATGGTCTTTAGCGACAACAAATTTATCTCATAAGGCAACCATCCATTTCTTCTAACTTTATAAGTGTGTGTGTGTGTGTGTGTGTGTGTATTAAAGAGACTACCATGACTACTTTATTTTACATTTTCTTGTTCTTAGGTTTCTCTTTTAAACTCTATATTCCTCTACCTTGGCATCCGTAAAATATTCCTGCTGCATTAAAAACAACAGCAGTAGGAAATCCTACTAGAATGATACACCTCAAATGTGGCAGACAAGTACATCAACTTTAGGCTGAGAAAGGTGGCACTCTTAATCCCAGGACTCAAAGGACAGAGGCAGTTGGACCTCCGTGGGTTCAAGGCCAGCTTGGTCTACATAGTAAGTTCCAGGACAATCAGGGTTACTTAGAGAGACCCTATCTCAAACAAACAAAAATGCTACCTTCTGTGTTCAAGAGTAGAGTCAATTAGTCATTAATAATCTTTAACTATATCAGGGACTCAGCCTCTCAGCCAGTTTACTGGCTGTCCCCATGACCTCATGTACTAGCCTAAAACACAACTTAGTATAGTGAAACAATCTCTCTTTTTTTGGTTTTTCAAGACAGGGTTTCTCTGTATAGCCCTGGCTGTCCTGGAACTCACTCTGTAGACCAGGCTAGCCTCGAACTCAGAAATCCGCCTGCCTCTGCCTCTCAAGTGCTGGGATTAAAGGCGTGTGCCACCGCCGCCCAGCTAACAATCTCTTATTTTAATAACACATAGTTTATAAAGTACCAGGTTCTTAGTTTTATAAGCAGAAATCATATAGTAGTAAGGAAACTGATGCATTTTTTTTTGTATGTGTGTTCCTCATAGAACTTTTTCCTTTTTGGAATCTGGTATTTTTTTTTTTTTTTATTTAGACTGCTTCCAAAACATGCATGTGGGCACATGCAATAAAATATAATTATAAAAGTGAACATTGAAAGTTTATTTGGAATTTGAAAATTTTTATATACACACACACACACACACACATATATATATATGAATGAATGATGTGCCTTTATATATATAACCCACATAAAAACATGGTTGATTTAATGTTTTCTTCCTCTCGGGGTATGGATTCTCAGTTTGACACACATAGTCAGATAGACTTGAACTTTGAGTCTAGACTCTCAGGTTATCTTCCTTTTTCTGCAGATACTCCGTGAGCACAAAGCAGTCATCATTCAGAAATGTGTCCGTGGCTGGCTGGCTCGTACACATTATAAGAGGACCATGAAAGCCATCATCTACCTTCAGTGCTGTTTCCGGCGGATGATGGCCAAGCGTGAGCTGAAGAAACTCAAAATTGAGGCTCGCTCTGTGGAACGCTACAAGAAACTCCATATTGGCATGGAAAACAAGATTATGCAGCTGCAGCGCAAAGTGGATGAGCAGGTGTGTTTTTAAAGGCGCTCTGAAGCTAGAGCACATCTGAAGGAACCCACTGGGATTGTTCTTAGTTTTGTGAGTCTTAGGAACAGACGGGATCTTTTTTATCACAGCCTACTCCACCCTGTCTTGTAATTTATACTTCACAGACCTCCTTCACCACTTATCTGTATGTACACTCTCTCCAACAGTTGTTTGGCACTGCAGTGGCAAGAGAAGCAGGAAGATGCCCATGTGTCTGAGAAGCCCACAGTCTGTTTGCAGAGAGGAAATATTCTATTGCTTAGCAGTAGTTACTAAATACTATTTTAGCACATGCAAATGCTATAAAGGTAACTAAGAATAGGTACATGAGAGATAAGGAGAGCAAGGGGAGAAGGGCCACAATGAAATAGGATTCATGGATTCTCTGAATGCAGTGAGAAATTTGAGGTGTGTCTGTTTCTAGTCTGCTTTATCATTCTTATTCATCTTCTACCTAATATATGGTCTTATTTTTGTATTAACTCCAAATTTTGACCTGTGGCAGATAGATACTATCACTGAGCTAAAATCTCAGGCCTTAAGATAAATGTAGTGGCTTAAGCTTGTATTCTAGGTATAGAGGATGCTGAGCATGGAGAACTACCTCAAATTCAAGGTCACCCTGGGTTGTAGTGTAATACTATGTCAAGGCTCTTTGTGTGTGTGTGTGTGTTTCATTTTTTTTATTGCTGTTAATTCAAGGAAAAAGATTGCTAAAATCCAGTCTGTTCTTGAAATATAAGTGGCCTTTCCAGTACATACCATTTCAAATATCAAAGTATATGGTAAACATACAAATAAGGAGAAGGTAACATCCCTCCTATGTACAGTACAGTATTTGAAATCATAAAATAAGCTCCATAAAGTACACCTGGCGAGTGAGTCACAACACACCTGTACAAGGCTTAGCAATACTCTCCCCTAAACAACTCAACTGCAGCTAAACAATTTAATAGTGGTCCAAAAATACCCAGATCAAATAAAATATATTTAATCAAAATAATTTCCTTTACTTGAACTTTTTCTTTCTAAATTAAAGCTTTTATCTACCCCATCACACTCCCCATGTCTCCCAGTAGCTCCTGCCTCTGAAAGTTTCAGAATATACATTGGCACTATAAATATAAACACTACTGCTGAAGCGTTGAACTAACTTCTTTTTGCTTCAAGCTTTTACTTTGTCTCACAAGATCAGGTTTCAGAACCCAGACCCAGCATTTCAGTGCCTCTGCTGCACACCAACTCTACTCCCCACAACAAAAGTCAATCATTTCTAGCCTGTACCGAGGAATGGAAAGAAAGCCCTGCTACTCCAAAAGCTTACAATGGATGGTGGTACTTGTTTATTGCTGTTGAATGCAGCAGTCACTGAAGATACATCCAGACAACCCTCAGTGCACTTCAGGAAATCAAAAAATCACCTGGAAGCAATTTAGTACATAGACTGGCTTAAAAACAAAACAAACAAACAAACAAACAAAAAAAGCAAGCTTAAAAAAGCCAGCAGTTCCCAGCACTTGGGAGGCAGAGGCAAGCGGATTTCTGAGTTCAAGGCCAGCCTGCTCTACAGAGTGAGTTCCAGGACAGCCAGAGCTATACAGAGAAACCCTGTCTCGGAAAAAAAAAAAAAGCCAGCAGCATTAAACTTAGTGACATGACACTGACATGACTAACACCATCTCAATAGGTGGTTCACAATCATATAAAACTGTACTCCAATGGGATCTGATGCCCTCTTCTGGTGTGCAGATGTACATACAGACAAAAATGAATGAATGAATGAATGAATGAATGAATGAATAAATGAATAAATAAATAAAGCTTTACAAAATAGTTAGGAACTTAAGAATTTACTGAAAAACTCTGTGATTATGAGAAAATCAAATCTTTGTTGTATATTATATAAAACAGAATTAATTTCTCTGTGCTGTTCTTTATTTGTATAATAAAGAAGCCATTGGTTAGATTCTGGAAAGTGCCAAGCAGGTTAGGAATTAATACCCATATCTTTACCTACTTACACTAAGGAAGTGTGTTGCCATTCTGTCCTGGTTCTGATGTTTTATTGTCATTTGTTCATTTGTGTTTGTTTGTTTGTTTGTTTGTTTAAGACAGGGTCTCATTATTTAGACCATGCTGGCCTTCAACTTACAAAGATCCACCTGACTCTGCCTCGCAAGTGCCAGAATTAAAGGAATGTGCCACCACACCCAGCTCAATTTTGTGGGTTTTTTTGTTTGTTTTGTTTTGTTTTTTTGAGACAGGGTTTCTCTGTGTAGTCCTGGCTGTCCTGGAACTCACTCTGTAGACCAGGCTGGCCTCGAACTCAGAAATCCGCCTGCCTCTGCCTCTCAAGTGCTAGGATTAAAGGCGTGTGCCACCACTGCCTGGCCTCAATGTTGTTTTTAATGAAAGGTTTTATTATGATCATTTTAGTACAGCAAATTTGGCCATCTCGATGCTGTGATGCTGTCATAAGAATTTATAGCTGGAATATCATAGCGTAACCTGCCCTTAATCCAAGCACCTCGAGCAGAGGCAGAGACAGAGACAGGTGGATCTTTCTGAGTTTGAGGCCAGCCTGGTCTACATAGTGACTTCCAGGCCAGCCAGGGTTACATAGTGAGACCTCCTCTTGAAAAAATAATTCATAGTGGACTTGTTAGTACACACCTATAATCTGAGGAGCAGGAGTTAGAGGCTTTCGGGTTGCATCATAAGTTCCAGAATAGCTGGCCTAAATAGTAAGACCCGCTCTCCAAAACAAAACAGAGGGAAAAACCTAGAAGAATCTAATTAATTGGCATGTAATGGTTTCCTCACTGCATACATTTGGTCATTCATATTATTAATATTTACTTATTGTTATTAATGTTTGTATTTAAAGAATAAAGACTACAAATGCCTCATGGAGAAACTGACCAATCTGGAAGGAGTATACAACTCTGAGACTGAAAAACTACGGAATGATGTAGGACGTCTTCAGCTAAGCGAGGAGGAAGCTAAGGTTGCCACTGGGCGGGTCCTTAGTCTGCAGGAAGAAATTACAAAACTCCGAAAAGACCTGGAACAAACTCGATCAGAGAAAAAGTCCATTGAAGAACGAGCAGATAAATACAAACAAGAAACTGATCAGGTAGGAAACGATATTCTTATCCCCATTACCTCTTGTAACAAAGTAAATGCTGTCATCCTGACCTAGTCCGTGTGAGTCTACAGTCATTTTATTCAAAGACATACTGCAAGTTTTATTGGGCTTACTGTTTGTACCAATGTTTCCTAAATACCTCTACCCATGATCAACAAATAGGCTGTAGTCTTGGAGTCAGAATATTTAACTCTAGTAAGAACAGAAACAAAGCAATGTTTCAACAGTGAAATTAATATCTATGTACTGTCTTAGTTTGTGTCATAGTTAGGATTTTATTGCTATGAAGAGACACCATGACCAAGGTAACTCTTATTAAGGAAAACATTTAATTGGGCCTAACTTACAGTTTCAAAGGCTTAGTCCATTATCCTGGTGGTGGGAAGCATGGCAGTATCCAGGCAGACATCGTGCTAGAAGAGCTGGGAGTTCTGCATCATGATCCAAAGACAGCCAGCAGGAGGGTCTCTCTTTTGTATTATGCGATGCTTGAGCACTGGGAGCCCTCAAAGCTTGCCTACACAGTGACACACTTCTCCCATGTATATATCATATACCTTCTAACTTAATTCTTCTGAGACAGGGTCTTACTATGTAGCCCTAGATGCCCTTGATTTACTGTATAGAGCAAACTAGTCTCAAACTCATAGAGACCTGACTGCCTCTGCTTCTCAGGTGCTGGGATTAAAGGTATGTACCCCAGTTTCCTTCATTTCCTAAGCATGAAGTTATATGGAAATAAATACATCAATATTATTCTAAAGTCAGTACTTATATAAACATCCAATTTTAAAAAGGATCCATTCTTATGAAATTCTTAGAAGGTATCACATAGAAAAATATCTCTTAAATATAAAAATGGGAGTATCAGAAAGCCCTCAGTGAATTTCTAAAGCTAGAAAGCTTTCACTCAGTGAAGGGGTTATAAGAGCCACAGGCCAGGGAGAACTACCTGGCAACAATGTCTTCGGGATATTGCATTACTACTGAACTCATGAAAACCCAGCAGCTACCTACACAAGATTGGCCAGTCCACATTCTGGTAGAAGTCAGGGAGAAGTTCACAAGACTCTACCCAAAGCTCAGGAGCTTTTGGCAGTTGATGCCTGTTGGGAGAGGGAGAATTAGTTTTCTTCTGGATGAGGCCCCTGGTAGGTTGCCTACAGTGCAGTGACTTGCCCTCCATCCGTATTTATAAAAAAGAACATAAAGTTGAAAGAGGGTTGTTAGGGATGAGATCTAAGAAGAGTAGCATGGTGTGGATTTGGTAAAAATTCATTGTATACATACATGATATTTTCAAAATAAATAAAAATGATTATATTTTTAAAAGAATTCATGGGCTTGGAGAGATGCCTTATCTGTTAAGTATGTCTCTTGCCCTTTCAGAGGACAAGAGTTTAGTTCCCAGACTACACATCTGTAATTGCAGCTCTAGGGGCTTCAGCACTATTTTCTGGCTATGGATACACACACATGAGGCATGCACTCACACATACACATAAACATTATTTTGAAAGACTCATGTTCCTAATCTCTTTAATCTGCCCATTTGAATTGCCATGTTCTGGTTGTACAGTGAAAAGGTGTTTGATGACTAATCTTAGTTGTCAACTTGTCAAACTGAAAAAAAAGGAGTCTCAAAGAATTGCCTTTATCACAGTTTCCTTGAACATGACTGTGAGGAGTTTTCTCAGTTGCTAGTTGACATTGGGAGGGCCCAGGCCACTGTGATTGGTAACATCCCTGGGCTTGTGGGCCTGGGATACATCAGAAAGATAGCTGAACATGAGCATAGAAGCAAGCTTAACTCCATGGCTACTTCAGAGTCCTGCCTTGACTTCCCCTGAGAATGGATTGTGACCTGGACATGTAAAATGGAGTAAACCCTTTCCTCCCCAAGTTGCCTTTGGTCAGAGTGTTCTGTCAGATAGAACAGGACTTTGAGAAGAGATGTTTACTAGATGCTAGCCAGATGCTATGTGTTCACAGTACCAAGTCAAATGAGCTCTATCACTGTCCTTGTCCTCCAAGAAATGTCTAGTCCATTGGAGAAGACAAAAAATAAGGCATTCATAAGGACCTAAAGAGGCAAATGCAGAATCTTGCAACAGCCCAGAGAAAAGGCCTCTATTGGAGGTGGTTTTCATGAAGTTTCTCTGGAGAGGGTAAATTTGAGACAAGTGTGACAGGTGACAAGATGTAAGTAGATGAAGTCATGAGGCACAGAATCTGTGACTGTCATATGGGATATCTCGGTCTGCTGCAGCCCTCTCAGCTTGGTGTTTCATTTTATAGCTGGTGTCAAACTTGAAGGAAGAAAACACTTTGCTGAAGCAGGAAAAGGAGACCCTCAATCACCTCATTGTGGAGCAGGCTAAAGAGATGACAGGTAAGGCTTGTGTGGTCTCAACCTAGTATACAACAACCTTCAATCCTAGATTTTGTAAGTTTGACATTATGTTATCAGTTACAGTATTGCTTAGAACTGAAATAAGTTCTAAAAGTTGTCTATCATTTGTATCTCTGTACATTTACAAGCAAAAGTCCCAAATAGTTTAATAAAATTAGTGAACAAACCTGATCTCTGGTCTCTGTGTGCCAATATGAAATTACATTCAGCATTATCATATGTAGCTTTTTAAAATTTTTGCTTTATATGTATGTTTTTAATTTATAGGATTCTCTTGATTTAATAAGAATTTTGAGCTAGTTTATGGATATATATATATATATATATTTATGTGTTCTTTTACATATGCACACACAAACATACATCTGTGCATTTGATGTACTACCAGAACTGGCTTTGAGCTTGAAGTCTTCCTGCTTCACCCTTCCAGATGTGCCTCCACACTTGGCTATTTGTATATTTTCAAACTGACATAATTGTAAACATTTATAAGAACATACAATAATTTGGTATATATGTAATATATGTAATGATCAAATCAAAATAATTAACATTTTCATTGCCTCAAAAGCTGTCATTTCTATTTGTGAGCATCCTTCCCACTCTTCTGCTCAGCAGTGTTTAATCTAACTTCTCTCCAGCTCCCCTCCCCCCACTCCCTGCCCCTGCTTTCCCAGTCCTTGGTGACCATTTTTTCCATATTCTCTTCTATCAGATTAAAGCATCTTTAATTAGTGAGAACATACACTGTCCTAGGCCTCATTTATTTATATCTTACTAAAACAGTGTCATCCTACTAAGTTCAACTGTCTTTACTAACAAAACATGAAAACTAATTTTTAAAATAAAGGACTAAGTAAATATGTACATTTATTCTTTGATTATGGGATTGATTAAAATACTCATAAATAAAAGGAATCCCTCAGATTGGCCTGTGGGCATGTTTCTTGTAGCGTACTCTCTTAATTGCTAACTGCTGTAGGAGGGCTCAGCCCACTTTGGGTGTCACCATCCCTAGGCAGTTGGATGTGGGCTGTACAAACAAAGGTAGCTAAATGTCAGCCTATAAGCAAGCCAGTAAGCACTATGGTTTCTGCTTGAGCTCCTGCCTTATTTACCTAAAAAATGGACTGAAGGTAAAGAAAACCCTTTACTCAGTGTCTTATCACCGTGGCAGATGGAGGTATTCTGAAAATAATCCAGAGTAAAGATCAGAGAGGTAGTAAGGAATGACTGAAAGGTTTCCCTTAAGACCATGGTGATAAGAACTTTCTGTACTTTCCTTCTGATTAAAGGTGATAGAGAGGAAGAAGAAGAAATTCTGAAATTAATACTTAACAAAGTGAAAGACAAGAAGCCAGAAGAAAATGTTAAAAGGGACAAAAGAAAATAGTCACTGAAGTATGGAAAGAAGGCTTCTCAGATGTAGCCTGTCAGGGAGGAATCCAGAATGATGAAAACATTTCTTGGAAAATATACAATGGTTTTTTTTTTAATTGATTCTAGGTATAAAGAATGGATTTGCCTAGAAAGTGTTTCTGGAAGACTTGAACTAGTGGCTGTAAACTGGTGGGAATAAAGGACAATTTATAGAGTGTGTTGGGAAATTTTTCTCATTTATTAATTTATAAATTCTGGAACCCCTCCCCTAGGAAGGCACTGTGGAAGCATCAGGGGAATGGTAGTGACAAGGCTCTTGCATGTGTGCCTCACGGAGCTGGAAGAGAGTCAAATGATAGAGCAATAGAAGCAGGTAGGGCAGTTTGAGAGCAACCCATGAAATATAAGAATACAAAGAGCAAGCATAGTGGTAGGAAACCTGATATTGCAAAAGTAACTGTCTGAGTTACTAGGTTATAATATATAGCTTCTTTTTAAAAACATTTTTTAAATTTAAGTTTATGTGTAAAAATAATTTTTAAATTCCAAGTTTTCCTTTTCCAGCCCCAGCTCCCAGAATGATGACTGAGACCAATTATTTATTATTAAATGCTTATGTCATTAGCTTTAGCTTGTTCTCTAACTAGCTCATAACTTACTTAACCAGTTTAAACTTTTCTTTGTCTACCATGTGGTTACTTACCTCTCTTCAGTCCTGGCTCACTTCTCCCTCTCAGTGTCTCCCTGGGCTCATCTACCTGTCTCTCAGGACTCTCTTCACATCTCTCTTTTATCTTTTATCTCTTACTATTTCCCAGAATCCTCTCTCTTCCTGCCAATGTCCAACCTTCTACTTCCTGCCTCAGCTCATTGGACATTTGTTTTTTATTGACAGGTGATGTTTATAAGAGATTCTCTCCACACTTCTGTATATGGGTGTATTGTATGCATTTACACCTATGTACCACTGTGTATGCCTAGTGTCTGTGGAGGTCAGAAGAGGGTGCTGATCCCCCAGAACTGAAGTTACAGATTGTAAGCCACCATGTGGGTGCTGGGAATTAAACCTAAGTCCTCTGGAAGAGGGCCAGTACTCTTCATTGCCAAGCCCCCACACATACCTTCTTTATTTCTTGTTACCTGCAGTTAGTGACTAATATCTGAACTCTAGACTATGTCCAGCCAAAAGCCAGCTACAGGGAGAAGAGGCAGAGTGAGGTGGGTAAGTGGAAAAGTTAGGGTTCCTTGAGCAGCACATGAGAGGTGAGGAAGTAAATAGCACAGTGAACAGCACCTAAGCACTCAAGTTAGAAGTGGAGAGTAATGGATGGCAGGACTTCAGGGTACTAGAAGAGTATATGACAGAACCACTGACACACAGACAGAAACTATAGGGCAGGACGGCCAAGCTCCTTAAAAGGCACCATTCTCCTGAAGAATGGCTTTTTGAATCATTATTTGGCCAAAATAATTTATGAATATCATAGTAAATAAGATGGGTCATCACCAGGCCTAAGGACGTAAATTCAATCCCAGAGACACATGATGGATGAAGAGAATTGATTCCCATAAGTTGCCCTCTGGCTCCCACATGTATACAGTAAGATACACGCACACACACACACACGCACACACACTAAAATATTTTATTGGATTTTATGGGATAAAAAAAATGTGTCACTGCTTTAGTTATATGAATAACCTAAGAATACTATTGATATATAGATGTAGTTTTCTTTGTTTTGTTTTACTCTTGCTTACTAGAAAAACATGTAGTGGAAGTTTATCCAGATTTTCTTGTAATCGCAGTGTAGTGATACACACCCATAATCCTAGCACTGAGGAGACTGAAGCAGGATGGACTGCATAGCTCTAGTGCCAGGTTAGACAGGACTACATAGCAAGACTGTCTCTGAAAACAAACAAATAGGAACGTGTGGAACATGAGGTACTGGGACCAAAGCTGTAGTACATGGAGAGCTCCATAGATGAGGCTGTCATAGTGATTTAATTTGGGGTCATACTTTCTTCTCTCCCGTATTCACAAAATTCTCTCACAGGCCTAAAAGTCAATTTCACTAAGAGAAACTAGAAGTCAGTGCACCTGTTTACATTCTTGAATTCTATGGAGTCACTTTTGTATACACGGCCCCTTCCAGTTTTGAGGGAGGATTGTGCTTGTTCTGTTTTGTTTTATAAAGTTTATTATAATATTGAACAGATTCCTGGGCAATACTTCATCCTAGGTTGAATAAAAGATGCAATCTCGATGATAAGAATGAAATTGCCGTCATCTGTGGCACAAGGAACAGCTTTTTTATTGATTTACTCTCATCGGGCCAGGGACCCTGCTCAGGGACTTTTGTTTTAGCCCCTGAACTGCTTCTGTTACACTTTGATTTCTGATGGAAGGCCAGGCTTCCTCATCTGTCTCTTTGGACTGCTTCAAAGGTTTTCTTTTACCACCTTTGTGGCCTGACATGTCACCTGTCGCCATTTTACCAGTCCCTGATCCTTGATATCCTCTTATGTGTTTCAGAAACTATGGAGAGGAAGTTAGTGGAAGAGACAAAACAACTGGAGCTTGACCTGAATGATGAAAGGCTAAGGTACCAGAACCTTCTGAATGAGTTCAGTCGTCTGGAGGAGCGCTATGATGACCTCAAGGAAGAGATGACCCTGATGCTGGTGAGTTCAGCACTCTTTTGTCGGTTTGTTTTGCTTTTTTTTTTTTAAGGGTCTTGCTGCATAACTAGCCTTAGGCTCATGAGCCTATTTCTACTTCCTAAGTGCTGGACTGTAGGCATAAACCCTGATATGTGGGTTCTGCTTTTTGTTTCTTTTAATGAGAATTTTTAGTCTTATATAAAAGTAAGTAAAATCAGAATGAGCCTCCATGTGCTACATGTACCTATCACCCAGTTCCCAAATAGTCAACATATCTCTGTTTTCTCTTCTACCCATTACCATCTCATAGGTTACATTTAAAGTAAATCCCAGAAATCATGCAACTTTACCTATAAGTTCCTCAGTAAGGTTAAATACTTTAAAGATGGGGCTATAAGATAGTATAAAGTTGGTATATCAAGACTCTGCTTCCTACATTGAATGACAGTGTAAATCTAGTATATTCATATTATATTTTTATTATATGACTATTTTCTTCACTAGATCTTATAATTTCCAAGTTAAATTCCCATAGAGAGAAAATTTAGTACCTGTTTAGAGTACTTTATGTTCGCTGTTCCAAAGGCTCTTCTGTCATATAGAGTTGCTCTACTCATTTTGTTATCAGGAAGCTGATTCCTCTGGCGCTCTTGTTCCTTAAAGGTAACCTAGTAGAGCAAGTGGCCAGAATGCCCTAAAATAGATCTTGTAAAGAGTGAAATAAGTTGGTACCTATAGGATAGAATATTTACTTCAACTTTTGTTAATAGAAGAATTTGATTGACAGAGGTCTTTAAAACATAACGAACTAGTGTTAGCAAGGCTTCACAGATGAGAAAACCTGATATAAGGGAAGTCAAAAAGCACATTTAAATCCCACATTGGATGATTATTCTGCACCTTACTAGTCCATTCTAGTTTACAATAGAAGAGGACCACTATGATCCATGATTGATAAACCTGAAGAACTTTGCCTGAGCCTTGTCTTTCTTGATCCCCAGGCTGTTTAGGCCCCACTACAACCTCTGCTCCTTCACGTTCTGTCCTCTACAGCTTTCCCGAGCATTCTGTTCCTCTCCCACAGTGTTCTGATTTCCCACAGGTCCATTCTTTGATACATTTTTTTTAACTCTACTTATTGGAAAATTGTACCACATTAATGGTTAATCTGTGTTTCTGTTATAGTTAGGACTAAGCTTTGGATCTTACTGGATACTTTGATGGCCACTGGTACTTAGAAAGCTACTCAAAGTACCACTGGAAGCGAGATGATTCTTTGAGTCTTCTCTGTGCATTGGGTACAATAGGCTATCATGGGATGTCCTGCTTAAATTTTCATTTCCTGAGTTTTCTAAGCACCCATTGATACAGTAATCATGTACCCTAAAAGTATCTCCAAGATCTCCCGAATCACCATCATCAGGGTTCACAGGGAATTTTGAGAGCATCTAGCTTACCTGTCTTGTACTTATTCCCTCTGCTTACTGTACAGATTGTCATATGTAAAGGTGACAGAAATTATAGTCATCTATATAACTCCTACTTAATTTTTTTAGCCACTTATGCTCACTTACCATGTAATGAATGGTTATGTCTGTTGTTGTTCAGCATATTTTATGAACTTTCTGGTAATCTTTATTTTATCATGATACAAAACTCTTACTTGAACAAAGTAACTGAACAACTCAAACTTTAAAAACCCAAAGAGGGGCTTGAAGAAGCCCTGTTGGTAGAGTCCTCGCTAGCATGGATCTAAAGACCGATATTCCATCCTCAGCACTCATAAAGCACTCATAAAGAAGGTGTAGTAGTTCATGCAATACTCAGAAGGTGGAGGCAGAAGGATCGGAAATTCAAAGTCATCTTCAGCTACATAGAAAATTCAAAGCTAACCTGTTCTAACCTGGGTACCCTGCCGGCAGTCACAGGTCATTTATATCTACAGTTCCTGCTTTGCTGGCACAGGCTTCTCACTGGAAGGTCACCCCCTTATAAGAATTTTGTCAAGACATGATGGAACCCTAGAGCATTTAGCCACCAGTGCAAATCACTGAGTAAAGAAAGATTACAATGAAGACATTGCGGATGCTGTTTCCATTGTGCATAGTTCCATTATGCTATATGAATTGTACTTGGGTTGTTTACCTTCCAGAATGTGCCTAAGCCAGGACACAAGAGAACAGACTCTACCCACAGCAGTAATGAGTCTGAATACACATTCAGCTCTGAGTTTGCAGAAACTGAAGACATTGCACCAAGGACAGAGGTACATTTATCTCTCACTAAAAGTAGGATGTACATGATTCTATTGATAGGCAGCATTTCTAATAATTGGTTTATGTATTCTTAATTAGTTGTACCCATATGTACTTATTGCACATGTCTTTGCAAATACACTAATTTTTATTTGTTTTGGTGTTAGAATTGAATCAAGCACCTTATATGTGGCAAGCATGTACTCTGCCACTGAGCAATATCCCCAGTCCCACATTATAATCTTTTTTGTTGTTGTTGTTGTTGTTTTTGTTTTGTTTTGTTTTGTTTTTCGAGACAGGGTTTCTCTGTGTAGCCCTGGCTGTCCTGGAACTCACTCTGTAGACCAGGCTGGCCTTGAACTCAGAAATCCGCCTGCCTCTGCTTCCCAAGTGCTGGGATTAAAGCCACATTATAATCTTTTTTTTTTTTAAACTTTATTTATTTATTTATTATAAGTACACTGTAGCTGTCTTCAGACACCCCACAAGAGGGCATCAGATCTCATTGCAGATGGTTGTGAGCCACCATGTGGTTGCTGGGATTTGAACTCATGACCTCTGGAAGAGCAGTCAGTGCTCTTAACCACTGAGCCATCTCACCAGCCCCACATTATAATCTTAATGTAAGTTTCATAGCAGTAGTTTCTTTACTGCCCCTATCATGGCTGTACACCTGAGCAGTTTCTGCAGATAGCTCAGCTGCTGGCTGCAATTGCCCTAGAGCCCTCGGAGCATCTGTAGGGCTTCTCTGTGTTGGTTTGGAAACATTGTTTATCCCTGCATCAATCAACTATTGGAGTCCTGCCTTATTTATAAACTTCCTTAGTGTCAAACTTAGGGAAAGGGTCACCATGACTTCCTAAGTTATGGCAGGAGAATTTTGAAATCCTTGCCAAACCAGTAGTGGTAATTTTATTAATAAATAATGATTATCTTCAGTTAAGAGATTGGTATTATTTTTAAGGTCCATTTCACAGTTTGACTCACTCAGTAAAGGCTTGGGTGACAAAGTCCTTCCTAAAAAGAGAAGGAAAGAAAGACCCCACAACTCCACTTATCCAAATGGTCTGCTCCTCCTCCTTTCTCATGTGGTCCAGAGAAGTCAAATGACTTCTGTACGTGCTGTAAGTAGATACGCCAGTGGGCTAAGGACATCGTCTGGGCATTCTGGCGCGATTACCATTCGTTACATCTCAAGTTGTCCTGTATTGGCAAATGTTGTCTTCTGTGCCCTGCTCTTTTCCTATTCTCACACTCATTTCTATATAATTTTGTTCTCAGCCTAGCAGTCAATGGATTCTGTATATAGCATTAACTGATAACTGAGAAATTACCCCATTCTATTTTAATAAGATTCCTTTTTAATTGCCCATTCAAAATCCAAAGGCATGATTTCCAGTTAATAACATTTTAAGTATCATGAGTTGAACTACTACTCATTATGTTCATTTATAAAATGGAAGATTCTATTACAGTTTTTTGAAAGTTAAAGTTTCAAGGACATGTGCATCACTAATAAAAGAACAGATATCAAGATACTTAAATGGACTGTTTCATTGTAAATCATCTAAAATGCTAGTGTTTGCAGGTACTTTCGGTGGGCTAGCATGATGGCTCAGAGGGAGATGTGCTTACTGTGCAGGCTTAATGACCTAAGTTCTAGCCCTACCACCTATGCTGGAAGGAGAGAACCAACTCTTACAAGTTTTCTTCCTGTGACCCCCATACATGTCCCTTTTAACTTTATGAAAAGCCAAAGAACAAAATTTAAAACAACATTGAAGTGACACCTTTGGGCAATCAACTAATCTGGAAAAAAAAATTTGTAAGTGACTGTTGTCCCAGGAATCCTTGTTGTTATTGATGTAAGTGGAAGTTACTCCAGCCCACCAGACTGCCAAGTGTTATGTTGAGATAGTTATGCTCTTGGATGTGTATTTCAGTAATGGAGATTAGATACCATCTCATTGCGCATCAGGAAGACAATGACTAAAGAGCTGGTGGTTCACCTGACTATCCAGTTAGACAGATAAGTAGAAAACAATTACAGGAAGCACTTTGGGCTGCTGAGTCAGTTCCCTGGCCCTATAGTCTTAATTCTTAGATTGTTAGGGTGGGTGTGAATACACATTTAAATTTTAATAAATGCTCCTAGATTTCCACAGGCTTCTTTATATGTCACCAATATAATATGAGACACAGTTGCTAACATGGGACATTATTAACTTTGAGATGCCACCTCAGAGCTATCTGACAGATAAGAGAGACATAGTCTCTCACTGTTGTTCAACTTGCACTTCTCCAATCATTAGCTAGGACAAACGTGGTTTGGTTTTGCTCTTTGGATGTTTACATTTCTTCTGTGTTTGACTATCTTACTGTTGAAGTATTTTCTCTTTGACCTGTGAGTCTTCTGGCTTTGCTTGATTCCTATGGTTTCTGGGTTTTAGGAACCAATTGAGAAGAAGGTGCCTCTGGATATGTCATTGTTCCTTAAGCTCCAGAAGCGTGTCACAGAGCTGGAACAGGAGAAGCAGCTGATGCAGGATGAGCTGGACCGAAAGGAGGAGCAGGTGCTCCGCAGCAAGGCAAGGGTGAGCGGCAGGGGCCTGTCCCAGGACTGAGGCGGCTCAGGGAGACCAGGCTCTCCCTGTAGCCTTTTATATGCTCTGAGTTCATTGCTTCTCAGCCTATTGGCTAAGATCAAGTGGACATTCTCTGAGTCCCTTAGCTATGCGGCATTTGATTAAAACTGTGAAGACTTTGACATGCCACTGCATTTTGTAAAGCAGCTAGATATTCTAATAGTAAAAATTTGACAATTAAAATATAAAGTTTTTACTTTATTTTTTCTCCCCAGGAAGAAGAAAGACCACAGATTAGAGGTGCTGAACTGGAATATGAGTCCCTAAAGGTATTGAAAAATTCAGCCCAAGACTTTGAATACTTTGTTTTGATAAGAGAGCTACGAAGAATTTCTTTTTCTCAGAGAACATCCTTAGCTGAAGGTTCTAGCTTAAGTCTTACTCAAGTGCTAGTCCTAGCCTATGTAGTTTGCTTTTACAAATTCATTTTCATGTAAGTAGGACTTCACCCTGAACAGGAATAGGAGGTAGCAGCCATTCAAGCCACAGTAGTAAAGATTATGAACTCTTATCCACTGCTTGGTGCAGTTGCTCCCATCGGGCACTATAAAAACCTAATTGAGGGTGAGGGGCAGACTAAAGGCATAGGGTAGCAGTCTGCTCTCTAAAACATCCCCTGCCTCACATAAACATAGATAAATGAAATGAGTTAGGCCCAGATTCATACAGTATTAGGTGAGTGGTTCTCAAAGCTGGTCCTATATTAGCAAAATTGGTATCACCTAGTCCCTTGTTGGAAGTTCAAAAGTTTTAGGCCTAACACCACTAGACATCAAGTGAGAACCCTGTAGTTGGGTCTCAGAAATATGTGTTTTAACAGGAACTCCAAATGACTGTAATACATGTTTAAGTTTGGGACACATTGTGTCAGATCTTTGACATCAAAGTAAAGGCATTTTTTTGTTTTCCATCTCTTAAATGAGCAAAGCAAAATTGACTACCAGTAAGTGGAGGATTGAAAGAGAGCACTGCTGAAGACTTCAGGAGTCCACTCAGCCGACCAGTCCTTGGAAATACCCTGACCAGCTGTACACCCTCACATATATACTTACAAACAAAACCTGGGCTTCTCGGGACTGGCACTCAGCCATTTCTGCATCTGGGAGTATTCCTCGAGTAGATCAGAGTAAATTTGCCCCTGGAATTGGGGTTGTAGATGCAAACTGTCTTTTACATTGTTCTATTCACACTGATGTCACACTTAGTCTGGGAGACCAATCATAAGAGTGGAGGTTAACGTCCTTTCTAGAATTCTCCCATCACTTAAGAGAGATTGAGTTTTTCAATGTTGAGATGAGGATGACAACAGTAAACTTTTTCATCTTTTCATTCAGCGTCAAGAACTGGAGTCAGAAAACAAAAAACTGAAAAATGAGCTTAATGAGTTACGCAAAGCACTCAGTGAAAAAAGTGCCCCAGAAGTGACTGCGCCAGGTGCACCTGCTTACCGTGTCCTCATGGAACAGCTGACCTCGGTGAGCGAGGAGCTCGATGTCCGAAAGGAAGAAGTCCTCATCTTGAGGTCTCAGCTGGTGAGCCAGAAAGAAGCCATCCAACCCAAGGTAAGCATGTGCACATGTTGAGGATGAAGCATGGTTACTGGCCTCCATTTCTTCTTAAGCTTCTCCTCCAGTTTGTAAGTAGACAAACACTTAAGAGCAGCTGCAAAAGCCATTGGGTTCCTAAGTGTCTTTCAAAGTTTCATCTCCCACGAGCAAAGGATACTTTTAAAAAAATGTATTAGAAATGAAATCAGTTCATGGGAAATACAAGATGATTTCTGTTCACTCCTGGGAGTTCTGTCAATAGGAAAAAGGTAGGAAGAGCTATTTTTGTGGGGTCAACAGAAAGCACTCTATGCTGTCACCTTGCCTGGTACGGTCTCATTTGGTTCTAAGGCTTAAATAGGCTGGGCTTAAAAAGAAAGCTCTATATGCTTCCTGGACAAAGACTAAATCAAAATTCTTTCCTCTTTCAGCAACTGATGGTCTCTCCTTTTCTTTTTAAATTTGTAAATAAGTATATATATTTGTGAAGTGCAATTGATATTCTCATAGGAAACTTTTGTGAAAATTATTAGAAAATAAAAAAGGAAGCAAAGGGCATAAATGCAAACTCACTAGTAGAGCACATAGTTTGGTGCCATGCTTGCCCACTTATTAAGCTCACACAGCCATGTGACAACTGCTCTGTGATAATGGGCTGGCCCTACCTCACCACAGTCTCTGCTTGCCCAATTCCCAGCATCTACATGACACACCTTGTCTGTGCTGGAAGAATGTACAGTATATTGAGACCTTCCCAATTCTCTGTGCCTGTTTGTAATTCTGAGTTTCTCAGTTTCGTGTTTTCAAGGCAATGGTGAACAGCATACAGTGAGCTAGACCGTGAGGTAGCCCAACCAGCTCTGGTTTGTCTGCTCTACCTCCAGAGGATTCTTGGAAACTTTCTCTGGACAAATGCCCTTCCAGTGGCCACTACATGACCTCTCAAAGACAGGGTGAACCTCACACCGATACATCAACAGGAGGGACATTCTCTCACACACCCAACATTTTACAACAAGTAACATTTTAAAACAAAACAACTCAGGAAAGAACTTAAGCATTAGAAATAGGAGTTCCTATCTCATCCACATATATTAACTGTCTACGACAGTTCTGTGAAGTTAATTCATTTAGAGTTAGTTTTAGAAAAAAACAAGTCATAGCTTTTAAATGAACTCTTATCTGGATTCAGTAAAATAATCTATTCATGAAGCTAAAGATTTATTCTTTTCTGCATTTTTATGCTTGCCAACATGTGATTTTTCAGGATGACAAGGTAATTATACATGTTTTTAATATTTATTAAGTACTTCTGTTTAATCCTAAGAATGGTTTAGAGGTCTGTTCAGTATGTATAGTTGGTGCTTTGTGACCAAGTCTACTTTATTTTATTCTCTTTTTTTAAGGTTTGTTTATTTATTTATTGTGTTTATGTGAGGAAGTAGCAATGAATGTTGGAAGAAAGCCTTGTGTGTCCTCCTTTACTCTCCATCTGTTCCTTTAGGGAGGGATTCTTTGTAACCTGAGGCTTGCATTTCCTCTACTAGGCTAGAAGCCAGTGAACCCTAGTAATATCTTGGCTCCATCCACTCAGAACATGGATTCCAGACATATATGGAACGTCTGGCTTGTTACATGGGTCCTGAGATTTGAACTCAGGTCCTCTTGATTGAGAATCAAGCCCCACTTAAGTGTTTTAGTGGAGTTGCAGGCTTGAATTTTTCCACTTATCTTGTTTATAACTCTTGGCAATAATGGAATGCTTCATGTGGTGCAACCCTTTCAGAATTCAAGTTACTGAATATGGGAAACACACAGAACAGTGAGTCAGAAACTTCTCAGGGCTGTAGTACAACTCTAACCCCATCTCCAAAATGCATCTCCAAAATTCTAGCCAAGACAGGCAAGAATGAGGAAAGAACCAGTTGCTCATTCTCCAGGACATCAGCAAAAGGAGATACCCATCTTTCCCTGCCTTCAGACTAGCTGAACAGATCAAGTAACCTAATTTGCTAGAAGTCCAAAAACACTCCAGAAAAGTCCTAAGATACTCAAGTATAGTGTTATTTGATATAAAGATGAGTCCTCCTGAGTTATACTTATAGACCTTAAAAAATGAGAATGACCCTTTATGAAAATACAGCTAAAGAAATGTGTATTTGGGGCCAGAGATGTAGTTCAGCTGGTAAAATCCTTGCCTAGCATGCACAGAGCCCTAGGTTCAATCCACAGCACCCCATAAACTAAGCGGGTTCAGTGGGACATGCCTAAGTCCTAGCACTGAGGAAGATGAGGCAAGAAGACCAACTCCCAGTTATCCTTGGGTACATAGAACTCTGAGGCCAGCCTGGGCATGAGCACCACACCCAGCGTAGAACAAACATTGACTGAAAGACAAGACATGGTTTTTAGACAAAGAATGAACCTTTTTGGGGTGCTAAATTTGCTACTTTTTAGAGGCAATAAGTTAGTTGTTTAATGTGTGTGTCTGTGTGTGTGTGTGTGCAGACACACATGTGATTTCAGATGATAACTTTTGAGACTAGAGTCTTTCCACCATATGGATTCTAGAAATTAAACTCAGGTCATCAGGCTGGGTGGCACGTGCTACCCACTAAGCACTGAAGTAAAAAAAAAGTTTGATGTGACCCAGAACTACTGAGCTGAGCCTTCATGTGGAAATGTGTCATTTCCTCCCTTCAGAACACAATGACAGACTCCACAATACTTTTGGAAGATGTACAGAAAATGAAAGACAAAGGTGAAATAGCACAAGCTTATATTGGTTTGAAAGAAACAAACAGGTAAGTTGATCCCTCCATGTATCTTGGTTTAACTGTGTTAACCTGAGTCTTCAAGCTTGCTGGATTGATCCATTGCTTTAATGGACATCAGCCAATCTTCAAGGTTTCTAGTGTAAACTGATTTAAAATGTCATTAATAATATCAGGTTTTTACTGACGATTGGTGTCAGGGGAAATATAACTCACATTGTGGGAAGATATGTTTATTGTAAGAACATTGGCCTTAAGCTGCCTAGAAAAGAAAATCCATTGCTCTGTTTGGGATATACTGAGTATATCCTTTCATAGTAGGGTTCAAGATGGCCATTTGAAGATTTGTAGAGGCAGCTACCAGTACTCAATAATTGAAATGTAGCACGAACAGAAATGAATCCCAGCAGTGGTGACCCTACAACTCTAGAAGGGAGCCACAACTTCAAGGCTGAGAAAATGGAGGCTCATATATGCAATTCTTAGCCTTACTTCATTTCTGAACAGAAACTTACATGCCATTGTACGGAAAAAAATTACACACTGACCATTTTGAGAGAGCATAGCCAGTGGTGACCATAGAGAAAAACAGTTAGTAAATACCCACAAATTAAATATATATACCTTATGAAACATTAGATCATTCTTTAGTTACAGGCAAAGGTACAGAATGCTTATATAGGTATTTGGTTAAGTGTAAATTTAATTTATGAATTAATTGTAAACTTTTATATTCAAGAGTATCTTATTATAGAAAGGGAATGCTGTCCATCCATCCACTTAGCTACTTATTCACCACAGGTCTGAAATGTGCCTACTCCATGCCAGACACTATGCTACATAGTGGGAAGACAAATAAATACAGTCCCTTCTCACAGAGGTGATAGGCTCCTTAGAGAAATGACTAAGAATACTTGAATTTTAGTCTAAAGGTATTAGAAAGAATTTAAGTGTTTTACATAGAAGAATGATGTAATAACAGATTTAGAAAGCTGGCCCTTCCTGTTCTATTTGAGAACAAATTGTAATGGAGTAAGATTGAAAGCGCAAAACCAGTTAAGAGTCTTTGCCATAACCCAGTGACTGATCATAATGACTTGAGCTGGTGGGGCATTTGGAAAGGTATATATGTGATGAGGTCAATAAACCTGTGGCTTGTTGTGTATGAGTGAGTTATAGGAAGCTTGGCACATCTGATGTGGGTACGCAGTTGGATGTGCTGCTACCTTTTCATGAGCATGAGACCAGGGTAAATGGTGAGTGAATTTACACAATCTGACTTTTGGGAGACAAGAAGGCATCCAGGGAGAGAAATCCCACCTGGCAGTTGAGGTATATATAATAGATATATAAAGTCGTTACACTATAGTAATTCAAATAAAACCTCAAAAATAGATAACTCTTTAGGAAGAGATGGTAGCTTGAAAATAGAATCTTCTCAAATTCATGTTATATAAACATAGCAAAAAAGTATATCAAGATTAAGAACCTGGACTCTGAAATCCCATGGCGCTAGACTCCAATACTTTCTTAGCAGCTATTAAATTGACCTGGGTGATGGGGAGAACAGATGGGGTAGTGAAAGGATAAAGAATGGCATCTGACATTTAGCAAATTCTCAAAATGTATTGTTAACATCCTAGGTAGGAAAAATTCTAACAACTTTATGTTGACTGTAAACTGCACTATTTTAGTAAGAGGTTACAGATCTGTCTCTAATACAAAGGCAGTTTCTCCAGATCTTAAATTTTATCCAAAAATTTTAAACCATGTCAAAAGCTGAGACCTTTGGATATATTCTTATGTTATTTGCATAATAATTTGTATAGCAGTTTACATGGGGAATCAGATTTTATTATGCTGACAAAAATTCTATCCAGAAAACTGAAAATTACATTTTGAAATAGATTATGAAAATTGCCACATAAAGATATGGCATCTGGAGTGTTCACATCATACGTGTGTTATGGTTAGCCTCAGTGTAATGCCTGATATGTAAGGTCATTTGGCTAGCCACATAAAACATTAGAAAGTAAATGTCTGTCTCACTTTTCGGGTTATTTCTCTTCAGGAGACCAGAAAGCTCCAGACCTTTCGTTTGTCTATGATGCAACTGCTTACTCTCCCCTACAACCTTTTTTTTTTTTTTAATTAATCAGAGTAATTTTGTGGTAATGTTGCAAAGTCCTTTGTAATTACAAAGAATGGTCCTCTTCACTTAGTAAAATACTGAAGTATCATGTGCTTTTCCTGACCATCATCATCTCATTTCCATCCTGTGTCCTTTTGTGTTTTGCATTGTGTTTCTTTACATGGAAGATCATCTACTATGGATTACCAGGAGTTGAATGAGGATGGAGAGCTCTGGCTGGTTTATGAAGGGTTAAAACAAGCCAACAGGTTATATATGTCACCTCAAAATGGAATGTTATTAACTTGCTTTTCTCACTAACATGAACTCACAACTTTGACTACTATGCGTTTTATGCATTTATTGTCCTCCTGAGACAACTAGTCTCAATAAAACTTAGAATCTACAGCCAAATAGCTTCATTAAAATTTTCTCTACTAACAGATACTATTAAGGCTAAAGTTGATTATAGGTGAATATAGTTGCTTCCTGTAATCCACAGTGCTGTCAGCAGTGACTATCTAAAGATTGTGAATCTCTCTAGGGCTTGAGGAAGACAGTCTTGCAGCTGAAGCACAAGTTATTGAAGCATGGACACTGATCCTTGTTACCTGGACAGTAGTTTATTTATAATAATGTCAACCTGAGATGCATGTTCCTACAATAGATGTGGCCACTTTCTCATTATTGTCAGGCTGTGTAAGAGTAGTAGCAAGTGCCTAATTCAACATTCTCTGTGATTACTATGAGATTCAAAGCAAAGAAATCAGGATAACCACCTGAGCTCAGCAGTTTACTTCCAGGAAAAAACCAAAATGTATAGAATTAGCTGTTTCTTAACATAGTTATCATCCCTAGTAATCTTAAAAATCCCTAGTATCTAAAAAATTCCATAAAAATGTTTATTTTAGTGATTACAAATTTAAAATTTTACAGCGTTAAATCATCTTCTGCTTATTCTGCTTTGTTCTAACCATAACCATTGGCATTAACTATAGTTGTTGGTTGACTCCATCTTGAAACTTCATAATAGCTAACATATTTTAGTCCACTGTTCATAATTTGCTCACAATGGCATCAGTTTTACTCATCAGTTAATGACAACATTGGGACTAAATGTCTTTTTCTTCATGTTAGTTAGTTCTTGACTATAACTTTATATCTTGTTAGGATTCCATTACTGATATGTAATTTCGTGGGGAGAGAGATGACAGCTCTGTACATACACATTCACACACAGACACACACACAGACACACACACATTAACAAATTACGGAACTACTAAACTGGATTTGGATAAATCTATGGGTTTCCAAGTAGTGCATCAGCCTTTTTTGTCCTTAGATAAGTGGACAACATTAAACATTATTCAGATTCTACTTTTGCATGAAACCTGACAATATCTTTAAAGGTCTATTTTATTAGATTGAGAGTATGTAATCTTGCACTTCATAATGCAGCTCTTCATTTTTGTTTATTAGCAATGATACTGTCTTTGCCAATTAAAAGAGAACTTCATTCAATTAAAAAAGATATAAATATAGATAAATTCGTTTCCATTTCTGGCATCTGAGTTTCATCACATTATTAGAGTAAGGAGATGTACAGATGGTATAGAGTATCTGTTTTCCTATTCTTGCAAAGGAGCATGTAGCTTCGCACCCATTAGTGTGAACCATCTACCCTACAAACCTGTGTGGCCTCTCTACAGGCTCTTAGAATCCCAGCTACAGTCACAGAAGAGGAGCCATGAGAATGAGGCTGAGGCCCTCCGTGGGGAGATCCAGAGCCTAAAGGAAGAAAACAACCGGCAACAGCAGCTGCTGGCCCAGAACCTACAGCTGCCCCCTGAGGCCCGCATTGAGGCCAGCCTGCAGCATGAGATCACCCGGCTGACCAACGAAAACCTGGTAAGAAGAGGGGCAGTGCCCAGGTCTGCTATATGTTCTTTTATGACAAACACGGTTTTTCCTTTTTGGGAAAGACATTCTGCTGTCCCTGATAGAGACAGAAAGGAAAATATGAATGTGTTGGTAGAAATGAAGCAAAATAATAAAATTGTACCCAGGTTGTTTCTCATAGCAGTCTCTTGAGCAGTTGAGCTCCTCACATGGAATGTCTGGTCTGGCCTGGAATGTCTGGAAGAAAGTAACCTGACTACCTGCTAGGCTTTGAATGTCAGAAAGACATAGCTACAGATTGTTTTCCTTTGATCCCAGGCATCCAAGGAGGATGCCACGCAGCCTGTCTAGCCGACAAGCCAGGGAAGATTCTTGGTTGAACCAAGCAGTTGTCACTGGATAGAGCTTCTAAAATAGGGCAGTGGGACTAGAATTGAGCTTAGCACATTCTGTTCTTTTAAGCAGAGCCTGTACGGTAATGAGGAAGTTGATTTTGCTGTTCCCCTTACCAGATTCTGAATGCTGACACAGACTCTAAGACTTTCTTTTTTCTTATTCATTTCATTTTTTTTACCAAAGTAAAATATTTTCTACAATATTTCTTTCTTCACATTTTAACTTTGAACACATATTGGCAATTTTTAAATCTATGTAAATTTTACAGATATACTTACTGAATAAAAATCAGTAAAAGATTATAATTATGCATTTTTATATAAAATCTGTTCTCTAGTGACAGATGAAAAAGTAATACCTTTTAAGATCTACAGTAAAAAAAAGTCTGAATTTCTCTGAAGGTCTAATTCTATTAGTGATAATTGAGAACACGGGTAATTCTCTACTACCATATGTTCACCCATGTTTTACCTAGAGTCGAAAAAGTGTTTTCTTTCCAGTCGGATGTATGTGTGGAACTCTGTGGTAGGGGTGTGGGGAAGAGCAAGGATGGTGCGCGTGCTCTTTCAGAATGACTGCACCCCACTATTTGATGGGGACATCTTCTGAGTCAGAAGATGGTCTTCAAAAGTTATGTCTTTTCTCTTTGCTGGTGATATAACTAACAATGCTTTTGATGATTAAGGATTGATAAATATGTGGATTAATACTGACTGATCAGTGTACAGATTCTTTGCTTCTGAATGATTGCCTTAAAATGCTAGGCAGTGTATGAAATGGGTTTGTTTCTGGGTGGCAGATTCTCAGTTTGTTAACTAAGTTAATCAAGTGTCGGCCTTATAGCCTGTCTGTACTATTACTATTTTGTATCTAACTCCGAAATGAACGAGCCTTATACTGTAAATAGAAGTCTCCAATTAGGGTTTTAGGCTATCCTTTGCAGATCATCTGCTTGTGCCGTTAATTACACTGACTGCTAATTCAAAGAATATTATCAAAGTCAAGTGTATGGAAGGGTATGCCTTCTCGGGGTACTTAGAGTTTCTCAGTTTTAATTATGAGTTTTATAGGATGCACTTGAGCAGAATATTAAGGTAATCATACATCTGGGCTTAGTGCTTCTGAAGTTTTGTCTCACATACACACACATGCACATGCTCACACACACTGAACACATAGCAGTGCACATAGGAATGGCGTTTTTCTCCTCTAGCACACGGGCTTCACAGGTCTCCCCAATGCTGCCTCTCGCCAGCTCCACCAGTTCCACCAGTTCCACCAGTTCCAAACAGGACTGGAATGCTAGCAGCATTCCTGCCTTTTTATGTCATTGCCTTTCTTGCCCTTGCTGCTCTGATGGTTGCTGAGCAGTGCAGCAGCTTGGGAGAGTCACACATGAGGGAGGAGTAAAGGGCTGGGGACTGAAATGTCAGCCTTCTCTGGTCACTGGTTCCCTGCTGTAATGACAACACCCTGGCCGTCACCTGTCTCCATTGCTCATTCAGAGAGAGACTCATCTATACATGGTGACGGCAGGGAATAAACTGGAAACTGTGAGTAGAGATTCATTACACGTGTTTTAAAGTGTCTTAAGTTCATTTTGCTGAGAGGTAGCATTTACTCAAAGACACAAGAAACAAATATCCATTGTACCTGTTTTTTCAGTATTTTGAGGATTTATATGCAGATGACCCTAAGAAGTATCAATCCTCTCGGATTTCCCTTTACAAAAGGATAATTGTATGTAAAACACAGTGCTTTTCCGTTGTCTTCTGCTACTTCTAGCCTTCTCTAACTGAAGAGCACACTGTTGCCTGTCACTGCCCAGGAGGTCTCTTCAAAACTATTCACAAAATCTCTTTCCCCTGACCTTCACAGCTACCTTTAGCCAGTGTGTCTTCTCTTTTGGTGTCCTGTGTCCACTGTGTTTGGTTTGTTGTTAACCCAAGGCTTACAGTGTGATGGAAGCAATTTATTTCAAAAGATAGAATAAAATCCAGGAAGCATAACCTAGCACTGGAAATGTGAGCAGCTGTTTCCTCAGAATCACTAGTCAGGTGTCTGAGCCCACTCCTGAGCAAGCTAGAGAATGAATCAGTGTTTTCAAATGCTGTTCTTCTCTGCAACTTAGTGGCAGCCACCAGCCAGCTCCACAGACTCATGTCCGTCCCGTCTAAGGTCCCTTCTAAGCTTCCTTAGTCTGGTAATGCCCACCTCCCTCTTCCTTACTGAGTGTCTTAACTGCCTGTCCTTTTGAAAGAATTGTTCACTAAATGAAGCCAGTAGTCACAAATGTCTTACCTTCTGTTTAAAAAATACAGGGTTTTTTTCTCTCTATTTTACTTTTTGCATTAGGCACTCAACATTCATCTTTTTAAATATATATTGTATAAGATTTGTGAGTATTTTATATTACCTTCCATTTGGGTCTTATGTCAGCAGAACTCCACTCCCACCCCCATCCCCGCCCGCACTCCTACCCCCAACCCTGAGACAAGCTTTCACTACATAGCCCAGGCTGGCCTTGAAGGCTGGATGCCCCAGTATGGGCGAATTCACCTCTCTTTCAGACTTCCAGGTACTTGGGTTATAGTCATGTACCTTTATGCTATGTAGCAGAAAGTTCTTTATTCTGTTTTCTTACTTTTTTGTTGTTTGATTTGCTTTTGTTTGGCTTGGCTTTTTAAGGCAGTCTTGATATGTAACCCTGGCTGACTTTGAACTCATAGAGATCCACCCACTACTGCCTTCTGAGTGCTGGGAATTAAAGGTGTATGCCAGAACACCTGGCTCAACTTACTTTCAATTTTCCCTATTTCTTCATGTTTGTTAAGCATGAAGGCTGAGTTGAGAACCGCTAAAGCGTAGCTGCACTTTATCATGGAGGCCCGTCTTTCCCTAAGTGCAGCCATCCTCAGCTCTCCCACAGAATTGTTATGCACTCATCAAAACTCATCGTTGTCCAGTCCCCTTCACAAGTGACAGTGCATCTGAGTTGTCCCCACAGGAGTCTCTGCAAGACTTCCATCACGCTGTAAAGGAGCTCACTGCAGTGTGTTTCAGCCTTGCCTTCACTGTAGCTGCACCTCCTTTGTCTGCCAGTTTCAGCCAGGTGGAGGCTCCACCAGAGAGCTCTTCTGCAGCTTTTATGTGAAACTAACAGTGTTGTTGCTGTGATTGCGTCTGTGCACCGTTTGTGCCTGTGCTGAGGCTGTTCTGATCTTTCTGACGTAATTCTCATTTTGATCCTAGGATCTGATGGAACAACTTGAAAAGCAGGATAAAACTGTCCGGAAACTGAAGAAACAACTGAAAGTCTTTGCCAAAAAAATCGGTGAACTAGAAGGTACTTAAACATTTTTTAACAGCATTTGTCAAATTTTATTTCCATTGCTAATGACCTGGTGGAGATTTACAAGTGAGTTTTTAGAGAAAATAACCAAAGTTACTTTTGACAATCTTAACCTCTGCAGAATGGAAATTTCTTCTTCTATGTATGGAGACAATTTTCATCATAACATAATAGTAAGTTATAAAGGGAGAAAATTCACTCAGCAGACACCTAACATATGCCAGAGTCTGCCCTAGACAGTACAGCATGTGCTTAAGAGCAAGGATTCTAGAGCCAGCTTCTTAATTCAAGTCCTGTCTCTCTCCTACCTACTAGGCTCAGAATATTTGCATGCTGCTGAACCTCTTTATGCCTCAGTTTTCCCACATCATCACTGGGAATAATGATGGCATCTCTCAAACATGGTCTGTGAGAACTGAATGAGTTAATGTGGGCGATATGTCTAGAATAGCAATATAAATGCTACACACAATCTAATTGTTACCACTAGAGATACAAAAGGAATGTGGTAGAGTATCTTCTAGAACTCATGATCTAATAAAAACAAAAAAGTTAATCGGGAAATATGAATTATAATTATAAAGAAACATGATTTTTAAAAATTAATCATTTCTACATAAAAAAAAGATGAGATCCTTGCAAAAACAAATCCAGTGGAAGCATACTAACCTTGTTTCGTCTGTTCCTTCAGTAAGGTTTATTTAATGTGTCCTAGGTGTTAGGCACAGGTGCTTGAGACCTAGCTGTGAGTGAGACCAAAGCAACTGCTAAGTCCAACAACCTTATCACTGCTCAGGAAATTTGCAAAGATAAAATTCCCTTTAAGTCTCTGCAAGCACTTACCATTTTAACCACAAATGATATGCTCATCGTGGCCGTCTCTCATAGTCTCTAATTGCCATCCTTATGATGCTTATATACCACAAAGGGTAGAAAGACCCCACCACCCCATCACATCACTGCTCTTCTGTCTGACTGGCAGTCCTGGTCAAGCCCTGCTCATTCTTTGGGACAAAAGGCACATGTCACATCCTCAGAAGCATCCTGATCACACCACCAACCTCATGACCCTGCCTTCTGTGTTTGATTCATTCTTTCTATGGTTTTTCACTCTTACATGTTAGCAGTTTTTCTGTTTGAATTACTGATTTCTATGTTTTTCTGAGCATGGAAATCACCTCTTATTTCTCACAGTTACAACAATGAGCATAGTTTCTGATCTGTGATAAGCCTTCTATAAATATTCTTGACTGAATAAGTAAGTTTTAAAAATATTTAGAGCATATAGTACCATGGATGTTAACATCAAAGAGAGTATTACTCTATTTAATATGCAAATATTGAAATGTTTGTTTGTATATCAGAACAATTACTTTATAGCCATTTATTTTGTATAGACCCTTAACATTACATGATTCATATATTACATTAAAACTTGTGAAACTCCAGGGGTTGGGGAGATGCCTTTGCATGTAAAGCACTTGCTATAAAACAATGAGGACTAGACTCTGAAATCCTGCATAAGAAGTTGTCAGGCATGACAGCTGCCTACACTCTTAAGTTTAGAGAACCAGAAACAGGTGACTCCCCCACAACAAGCTGGTTAGCTAGACAAGCTGAAACAACAAGCTCTGTGCGCAGGGAGAGACCCTACCTCTCAACACCTGAGGTGAGAGAAATGAAGAAATGCCCAGTGTAACCTTGAGCCTTCACATATACACGTGTACCCACATGCATGCATACATGAACATGCACATATGCCATACATACAAATACAAGAAGAAAAATCTTCAAACTCCAGGTTTACATATATGAGCTATAATGTTTATTGGCAGTACTTAAAAATTCAGGTTCATTTTTACAGAGAACTTTCTACACTGAACTAGACGCCATGGTAGGACAGGAGAACATTTGTAAAAACCCTGCTATAATGATATTAACCTATGAGGTTGATAGACTAGTGGCTCTTTGCCAACATTGGTGAATGTGAGTCAATATAAAAGTCATTTTTATCTCACATTTGAAATCAGTTTTCTTAAAATGTATGCTTTACCAGTGAGCTACTCTCAACCTTTGAAATGTAATTGAAGAGAGAAGTTTCACATATTTCAAGATGCTATTTTGGGCCATTATCAATTAGAAGTCAAACTTTTCAGCTAAACTGTCCTCATAGCCAAACAAAAAATAATATTTGTGCTATCAGCTCATGGATTAAATTAGAAAAAGTCATATTTATTCTTAAGAAAATTTACATTTTGAGTTAAATTATTTACATCTCAATGATAAAATGAAATAGGCTCATGTGCCTAGGGCACCTGCCCAGGCATTGTCCACACTCTTCCAAAGTAGTGAATAAACATGACACACTCTTCTGACACTCATCTCTTCCTCTCCAGATCTGTGTTCTACAGAAAAATACCAGTCTTTGTGCAACAAAACATTGTCTAATAAAAGTTTATTAATTCATATTTATGGTTTCTAATGTGTTAAAAACATTTAAACCCTTTCGCCTTAAATTGAAATAGCAAGATTCTTGCCTCTCCTGTGGGCTATGTTTAATTAAAGACACTTTTTAAAAAAAAATGCCAACATGTATAATTTTTTAGTAGAAATTATACAGCTAAGTAGATAGTATTTCAAAATCTGGTCTTCGTGGTGCTCTATTTTAATACAGGAGTGGGTGTTATATCTTGATTTTCATTTAAAAAAAAAAAGTCAGACTTGAAAGTATCCTAGAAGCCAGTAACTTTTTTGATACCAAAAACAAAAACAAAAAAAAAACTCCAGAAACTATGTTATTTGCCCAACACCCTGCCTGTTACATAATAGGTCTAGATCCCAAGCCTTCAACACTTTGCCTGTTACTTAATAGGTCTAGAACCTGAGCCTTCAACACCATTTCTGTCATACAGTAGGTCTAGAACCTCGGCTTTCTTTCTTTTTTTTTTTAATTGGATATTTTATTTACATTCAGATGTTATCCCCTTTCCCCATTTCCCCCCCTCCACCCAGGAGCCCCCTATCTATCTCCCCTCCTCCTGCTTCTGTGAGGCTGTGCCCCCACCCACCCACTCCCACCTCCCCACCCTCGAATTTGCCCATACTGGGGCATACAGCCTTCACAATACCAAGGACCTCCTCTCCCGCCTATGTCCTACAAGGCCATCCTCCCTTACATATACAGCTGGAGCCATGGGTCCCTCCCAGTGTGCTCTCAGGCTGGTGGTTTAGACCCTGGGAGCTCTGGTTGGTTTGTATTGTTGCTCTCCACATGGGGCCACAAACCCTTTCAGCTCCTTCAGTCTTCTAACTCCTCCATTGGGAACCCCATGATCAGTTCAGTGGTTAGCTATGAGCATCTGCCTCTGTATATGTCAGGCTCTGGCAGAAATCTAAGGAGACAGCTATATCAGGATCCTGTCAGCATGCAGTTCCTGGCATCCACATCAGTGTCTATCAGGTGGAACAGTCTCCAGACAGCTCCTCCATCAGTTTGTGTCCCACACTTTGTCTCCATATTTGCTCCCATGAGTATTTTGTTACTCCTAAGAAAGGACCAAAGCACTCACACTTTGGTCTTCCTTCTTCATGAGATTCATGTGGTCTGTGAGTTGTATCTTGGATATTGCGAGCTTTTGGGCTAATATTCAATTATTAGTGAGTGCATACCATGTGTGTTCTTTTGTGATTGGCTTACCTCACTCAGGATGACATTTTCTAGTTCCATCCATTTGCCTAAGAATTTCTCAAATTAATTGTTTTTAATAGCTGAGTAATACTCCATTGTATCAATGTGCCACGTTTTTTGTATCTGTTCCTCTGTTGAAGGACATCTAGGTTCTTTCCAGCTCCTGGCTATTATAAATAAGGCTGCTATGAACATAGTAGAGAATGTTTCCTTATTATATATTGGAATATCTTCTGGGTATATGCCTAGGAGTGGCATATCTGGGTCCTCAGGTAATACTATGTCTAGTTTTCTGAGGAACTGCCAGACTGATTTCCAGAGTGGTTGTACCAGCTTGCAATCCCATCAACAATGGAGTAGTGTTCCTCTTTCTCCACATCCTTGCCAGCATCTGCTATCACCTGAGTTTTTGATCTTAGCCATTCTGACTGGTGTGAGATGAAATCTCAGGGTTGTTTTGATTTGCATTTCTGTGATGACTAAATATGTTGAACATTTCTTTAGGTGCTTCTCAGCCATTCAGCATTCCTCAGTTGAGAATTCTTTGTTTAGCTCTGTACCCCATTGTGGGACCGTGAAAGGATAGCTTGGTCGAGCACAGGCCTCAAACCTCGGGTCCCTAACGGGACAACAGCAAGTGTTCGACCTCACTCCCAGACCCCAGGCTCCTGACGCGCAGCCAAGACCTCCATTGCGCCTTTCAGTCATGTAGGGCAATGTCCCTACAGCCCCTCCCAAAGAGAGGTTTATGTCATCTAGCACAGGTAGAGGGCATGACTACAGGCCTCAGGGCCTCAAGAGATTTACATACTAATGAGTTACCTGAAGGCCAGAGGGCATAGCCAATTAAGTATTCCTTCCCAGACCCTCCTCCGTCTCTATTTAACTCAGGTCTGTCCTGAGTTTTGTGGGGATGCAGCCAGATTCATCTACTTCCTGCCATGATAATAAACCTTTTGGAACTATGGAGTTCCTCGTGTCTTTGGGACCCTGCCATGGGGAACCATGGAAAAGGCCTTTAACTAATGAGCCATTATGCGGACACCTAATCTCCCCGATGAGGACTTCTCTCCATGGAGGTTGCCAATTCAACCAAGCTAGCTGACCCAGCCAAGCGAGTCCTGATAACAAAGAGTCTCAACCTGTGGGGCGCTGTTAGGGCTTCCCTCCCCTTCGTTCCTCTCGCCTGCAGGCCAGCCCTGTATGCACCCTCGTCTCTGTTCTTCTGCGGCTCTCAGGGGCATATGGGAGCCCGAGGTCATAGACCACTGACCTACGGGTCAGCTGCTGCCAGAGACCCCCACTCAAAAGCCCTGCCCCATGGGACCTGAGACTGAGATCTCTCTGAGCCCGGTGGAGCCCCATAGCCTCTGCCCAGCACCACATAGGGTGAACTCAGTCAAAGTCCCACACTTCTGTTCCCAGGAGCCGTGGGAACAGGACCCACGCACACCCATGCTCAAGCTAACCGGCCAACACCCCATTTTTTAATAGAGTTATTTGGTTGATAGTGTTTCTCCTGTTTCTATTTTGTGGAATAGTTTGAAGAGAATTGGTATTAGGTCTTCCTTGAAGGTCTGATAAAATTCTGCACTAGGTTTTGTTTTTTTTTTTTGGTGGGAGACTTTTAATGACTACTGCTATTTCTTTAGGGGTTATGGGACTTTTTAGATGGTTTATCTGCTCCTGATTTAACTTTGGTACCTGGTATCTGTCTAGAAAATTGTCCATTTCATCCAGATTTTCCAGTTTTGTTGAGTATAGGCTTTTGTAGTAGGATCTGATGATTTTTTTAATTTCCTCAGTTTCTGTTGTTATGTCTCCCTTTTTCAGTTCTGGTTTTATTAATTTGGATACTATCTCTGTGCCCTCTGGTTAGTCTGGCTAAGAGTTTATCTATCTTGTTGATTTTCTCAAAGAACCAGCTCCTGGTTTTATTGATACTTTGTATAGTTTTTGTTTCTACTTGGTTGATTTCAGCCTTGAGTTTGATTATTTCCTGCTGTCTATCTACTCCTCTTGGTTGCATTTGCTTCCTTTTGTTCTAGAGCTTTCAGGTGTGCTGTCAAGTTGCTAGTGTATGCTCTCTCCAGTTTCTTTTTGAAGGCACTTAGAGCTATGAGTTTTCCTCTGTACTGCTTTCATGGAGTCCCATAAATTTTGGTATGACAAGCCTTCATTTTCATTAACTTCTAACAAGTCTTTAATTTCTTTATTTCTTCCATGACCAAGTCGTTATTGAGTAGAGCGTTGTTCAGTTTCCACATGTATGTGGGTTTTTCCATTGTTTTTGTTATTATTGAACACCAGCCTTAGTCCGTGGTGATCTGATAGGATGCAAGGGATTATTTCAATCTTTTTGTATCTGTTGAGGCCTGTTTTGTGACCAATTATATTGTCTATTTTGGAGAAGGTACTATGAGGTCCTGAGAAAAAGGTATATTCTTTTGTTTTAGGATGAAATGTTCTATAGATATCTGTTGAATCCATTTGGTTCATAACTTCTGTTAATTTCACTGTGTCCCTGTTTAGTTTCTGTTTCCATGATCTGTCCACTGCTGAGAATGAGGTGTTGAAATCCCCCACTATTATTGTGTGAGGTACAATGTGTGTTTTGAGGTTTAGTAAAGTTTCTTTTATGAATGTGGATGCCCTGGCATTTGGAGCATAGATGTTCAGAATTGAGAGTTCATCTTGGTAGAGTTTTGTTTTGACGAGTATGAAGTGTCCTTCCTTATCTTTTTTTGATAACTTTTGGTTGAAAGTCAATTTTATTTGCTATTAGAATGGCTACTCCAGCTTGTTTCTTGGAACCACTTGCTTGGAAATTTGTTTTCCAGCCTTTTACTCTGAAGTAGTGTCTGTCTTTGTCACTGAGGTTAGTTTCCTGTATGCAGCAAAATTCTTAGTCCTGTTTACAAATCCAGTCTGTTAGTCTACATCTTTTTATTGGGAATTGAGTCCATTTGATGTTGAAAGATATTAAGGAAAAATGATTGTTGCTTCCTGTTATTTTTGTTATTAGGGGTGGAATTATGTTTGTGTGGCTATCTTCTTTTGGGTTTGTTGGAAGATTACTTTCTTGCTTTTTCTAGGTTGTAGTTTCCCTCCTTGTGTTAGAGTTTTCCATCTATCATCCTTTGTAGGGCTGGATTTGTGGGAAGATACTGTGTAAACTTGGTTTTGTCATGGAATATCTTGATTTTTCCATCTAAAGGGATTGAGAGTTTTGCTGGGTATAGTAGTCTGGGTTGGCATTTGTGTTCTCTTACAGTCTGTTTGATATCAGTCCAGGATCTTCTGGCTTTTATAGTTTCTGGTGAGAAGTCTGGTGTAATTCTTGCAGGTCTGCCTTTATATGTTACTTGACCTTTTTCCCTTACTGCTTTTAGTATTTTTTCTTTGTTTTGTACATTTGATGTTTTGATTATTATGTGATGGGAAGAATTTCTTTTCTGCTCTAGTCTATTTGGAGTTCTGTAGGCTTCTTGTATGTTCATGGACATCTCTTTCTTTAGGTTAGGAAAGTTTTTTTCTACAATTTTGTTGAAGATATTTACTGGCCCTTTAAGTTGGGAATCTTCATTCTCATTTATACCTATTATCCTTAGGTTTGGTCTTCTCATTGTGTCCTGGATTTCCTGTATGTTTTGGGTTAGGAGCTTTTTGCATTTTGCATTTTCTTTGACAGTTGTGTCAATGTTTTCCATGGTGTCTTCTGCACATGAGATTCTCTCTTCCATCTCTTGTATTCTGTTGGTGATACTTGTGTCTGTGACTCCTGATCTCTTCCCTAGGTTATTTATCTCCAGGGTAGTCTCCCTTTGAGATTTCTTTATTGTTTTTACTTCCATTTTTAGATCCTGGATGGTTTTGTTTAATGCTTTTACCTGTTTGGTTGTGTTTTCTTGCAATTTAAAGGATTTCTGTGTTTCCCCTCCAAGAGCTTCTACCTGTTTACCTGTGTTCTCCTGTATTTCTTTAAGGAAGTTATTTATGTCCTTCTTAAAGTCTATCATCATCAAGAAAAGTGATTTTAAATCTGAGTTTTGCTTTTCTGGTATGATGGAGTGTCCAGAACTTGCTATGGTGGGAGAACTGGGTTCTGATGATGCCAGGTAACTTTGGTTCCTGTTGCTTATGTTCTTGGCGCTTGCCTTTCACCATCTGGTTATCTCTATTGCTACCTGCACTCACTGTCTCTGACTGGAGCCTGTCTGTCCTGTTATCTTACTTGTGTCACAACTCCTCAGAGTCCAGCTGTCTCTGTGATCTTGTGATCCTGAACTCCTGGGTGGAAGAGCTCCTGGGACTCAGGCTGTCTCTGGGATCCTGAAATCCTGCTGCTCTGAGTGCAGTGGTTCCTCTAGGATGGCTCAGGATATGGTGTCTTCACGGGAGCAGACCAGCTAGGTGTCTGCCTCACCCAATAGTGAACCTTGGCTTTCAACACCCTGCCTGTTACATAATAGGTCTAGAACCCAAGCCTTCAACACCTTGCCTGTTACATAGTAAGTCTAGAACCTCGGCATTCAACACCCTGCCTGTTAGATAGTAGATCTAGAACCTTGGCCTTCTGATTTCTCTGCTCTAGATCAGTCTTTCCAGAATTTTTCTACTTGTAAGAAATTGTCCAAAAATTGGCTAAATATGGTGCTTTGGAGAGAAAGGGCAAATTTTCAGAAACTCTTGAATTGCTTTTCTTTTTCAGGACAAAAATGTTAAGGAGTATTTTTCCTTTGATTTTGCAAGAATCTAGAAAAGGAAAGTAGATTACTGCAAGATCTAGAAGGATGCCCATATTAGAGGGCTGGGCTGAGTGACAGCTGACTCAGTCTGTCTGTGCTACTCAGGCTGGGCGTTGTAAATGTGGTCCTCACAGAAAATTACTTCTCAGAGCTATAGAGGTTCAAGAAGATGTCTTCAGATTCAACATCTGGGGAAGGCCTGTGTTCTGCTTCCCAGATGGTGTCTTGTTACATAGTCCTCCAAAGGAGACTTCAGCTGTCTTCACATGGCTGAAGTAATCAGAAGAAAGGGGTTAGCCTTATGAGGCCTTATAAACCTGATTTTAGACATTATCACATCAATAAATGCTAATAAGCACTATTTTAACAGCTATCTTGATATGCTTTGAACTCAAGATAATGATAAATTTTAAGTAAATGCCCTTTTGCTTTTAATTACTAGATATTGGATTCTTAGACCAAATAATGCTTCTGCTATCCCCTCTAGGATGTTTCCTTTCTATTTGGGAAGTTTGTTTGTTCATTTGCATGATTTTGTGACAGGGTGTCATGTAGCTGAGGCTGACCTCATACTGGTTATACATTTGAGGATGACTCTGTACACTTGATCCACCTGTTTCCTAAAAGCTGGGATTACAGGCATGCTCTGCTAGTCTTGCCTTCTTTTTCCATTCTGCACGAAAAAGTCTAAATGTGTTTAACTACTTTTGATTGGAAAAGATTTGTAGCAAATACATTAAATTGTCTATGTTGGGGACTTTTCTGTGGTGCTTTGCATACTTACAAAGTAAATCTGACACAAAACAAAAATCCTTGCCAGTTTTTGGGTAGCTTTTTGATGTTACTACCTGTCTATCAGGGTCTGTGACTGTCAGAGCAAAATTACCCTTTAATTTTGCTATTCACCCAGTCTGAGCAGAGAAAATCATCTTAAAGGGGGTACGTAGCTAAAGGCAGAGATGAGGAGCTTCAGTTCTTACAGAGTCCGCTTATTTTACAAGAGCATGGAGCCCTCTCAGTTTTCCTACCTGATGAACATTTCTCTCCTTTTTTGTTTCTCCTAAAGTGGGGCAGATGGAGAATATATCTCCGGGACAGATCATCGATGAGCCTATCCGGCCAGTCAACATTCCCCGGAAAGAAAAGGATTTCCAAGGAATGCTGGAGTACAAAAGGGAGGATGAGCAGAAGCTTGTTAAGAACCTGATTCTAGGCAAGTACTCTCTACATGGATAAGATTCCTTTCAGCCAGGGCAGTGCTAGAAAGGCTCATCAAGAGGGTTTGAAGTCTGATTTAATATTCTTTTTAAATTATTTTCTTGACCGACAAGATGGCTGTGTGTAATGGTGTTTGTTGCTAAGCCTAGTGACCTGAGTATAGTTCCAGGACCCTATTATGAAAGGAGAAAACAAACACCTGCACGTTGTCCTTTGACACACTTTGTCACCGGCACTCACACAGCACACACAAAACAAACGTTTTAAAAAATTAAGTTCACAGCCAGGGCTACACAGAGAAACACTGTCTCGAAAAAAACAAAAAATAAATAAAATAAATAAATAAAATAAAAAATAAAAAAAAATTAAAAAATAAGTTCTAACACTTGTTTTGAGACAGTGATCCTGCCACGTTGTCCAGGCTTGTCATAAGCTCCTGGGAGTTACCGTCCAGCTTGGGCTTTCTCAGCATTGAAGGCCATAGACAGGAGCCACTGGCAGGCCCAGCTCTGAAGTCTCTGAGTCACCATTTCATACTGCAGCAGAGTGCTGTGGTAGAGTCCTTACTGAGCAATCACTGTCAGTGTGGGACAACACGTGTCTAGGATCCTCTGTAAGGCTCCCCTGCAGCCAAGCCGATCTGCTCTGGTTTCATGTTAAGATCACTCAGAAGATTTTGTTTTGGTTTGGTTTTGAGACAATATCTTATGTATGGCCCATGCACAAAGCTAACATGATATGTAAGCAAGCCACGGTCCTCCATTCTCTACTGCCCATGTGCTAAGGCCTATGTGTACTTCCACTAAGACCAGTATGTGTACGTTGTGTTTTGGCAGGATCAGGGAGCAAACCAAGGGCCTCATGAACAGTAGACAGATACAGAGCCACATCCTCAGACCACTCAGGAAGCTCTTAAAAAGTATGGATAGTTCCTTACCCCAAATGAAATAAGTTGAAGTTTCTAGGGAAAAGAGCTTGGGCCAAGTCTAGTGCTATTCTGGAAATGTCTTGAGGATTCTCAATTAAAACCACAGTTGAATGCCACTGTTGTAAGCAACTTAGGTTTTTTAATTTCTCTTTTCATTCTCTAGAAATATTTATGGTTAATTGTTTAGGGAAACACTTCAATAATATGGAAGAAAAAATAATCAAGGAAAAAAATCCAGCAAAGTATGGAAAGGATGAGATAATTGAAAAGGGAGTAGAGAAGGCATTTCAGGGGCATGAGGCCTCGACTCTGAGCCTAAGAAGAATGCTCAGGGAGTAAAATAAGGAACGAGTTTGTGAGCCCCTAAGTAGTAGTGAGCTAAAACCTTCAGCCTCTGCCATTCTCTCCTCTCAGCTACCATGGTGATAGCAATGGGACTGATAACTCTACCTAATTTAACATTCCTCAGCTTCATGGCATTCAGCTTAGTACTATAAATAGCTTCAGAGTGCTTCAGTTTCAACATGATCATCACTTAGCAAAAAGGTTTTAGGGGCTGGTGGTTTAAAAGGTAAAAGGATAGAGAGTAAAGATAGGTGTAGAGTTTATAGAAAGGTCTGGAAACACTCCTTAATGGGATGTACTGCGAACAGTGGCCAAAGAGAATAGAAACAAGCTGTGCTTATGTCTGAAGAAAGAACATCAGAGGCAGGAAAGGTGTAAGGCCCTGGGCCCTGGGTGGGAACCATGGCATGTTCAGCAAACAACAAGGAGAGTTGTTTGGGGCAGAGTGAGCTGAGCCTGAGGAAGACCAGTCTAGATGGTGTGAAATCTTATAAGTGAGTGAAGAAGCTCTTTGGAGAATTCTCAGAACAAAGTTGGCATGATCTAATGTGCATTTTCTTAAGCAAGAAGCTATAATATTTAGTATTATCTGGAACCAGGAGGTAGATCTGTGAGACCAATTAAGAAGCTATTCTAGCAACCCAAGAAGTGATAATGTCCCAAACTGGGGAGTAGAAGTAGAAGCAGCTAGATTCTGGCTGAATTTTGCAGGGAGCACTAACAGGATGATAAGTTAGATACAAGGTAAGAAAAGTAAGGAATTTTTAAATGATAAGGTTTATGACCTCAGAAACTGGAGGTAGAGGGAGGGGACCATTAGTAGAACAGATGTCATGGGAAATGGAGAACTTGACTTAGGAGTGGCTTGGTTTGACAGGCCTGAACAGAGCCATCAGGAAGACAGTTCATAAACAAGACTTGACTTCAAGGGAAAAGTCAGGACAGGATATATAACTTTATGTGCCCATAGTCAATAATTTCCCTAATGAGCTGTTAAAATACTGTTTTTTTATAGCTTGCTCTGAATGACTGAACTCTTACACAACTGTGCTCTCGTCTCACAAAACATGCCTCATAAAGACTTTCAGGGCTACATAATTTTGTTTTTGTTTTTCCTTTTTTCTTTATTCAGAACTAAAGCCACGTGGTGTGGCTGTCAATCTGATTCCAGGCTTACCAGCATATATCTTGTTTATGTGTGTGCGACATGCCGACTACCTGAACGATGATCAGAAAGTAAGATCATTGCTGACATCAACAATTAACAGCATCAAAAAAGTCTTGAAGGTCAGTTCCACATTCTGCAGTTCTCAAGGTTGTTAACGACAGTCTGTTCTTTTTCTACTGTTCTTATTTTACTGTTTCTTCCTTAGACTTGGCACAGTTGCTGTGATAAGCCCTTTCAGCCTTTCGGTGTTACCCTACAAGCTCCTACTCTAGGAAACAGTCTCTAGACCCTCTGTGTTAGCTGCTTTCCTGTCACTGTGACCAAATACTGACAGAAGCACTTGGGGGAGGAAGGATAATTTTGAGGGCTGAGAGCTTCAAGAGGTATGAGCCCATTGCAGAGGAGCAGTAAGCAAAGACTAATTCAGAAATGGGGCTGGGTTACAGTGTCAAGGTCTGCTCCCTTCCCTCCAGCTAAGCCTTTCCTCCTAAGGATTCTACAACCTCTCAAAGGCCACCACTGCTGGGGACCTGTCATAAATATAACACTGTCATTATGCCTTCTTTCAGAATAGATTAAGATTAGACAGTAATCAAAATGAATTTCATATTATTGCATTTAATTGTATAGCAAAGTAATTCTTCACAGATAGGAATAATCTGCTTTAGGGTTTTTTTGTTTTGTTTTGTTTTTGTTTTTGTTTTTTTCAAGACAGGGTTTCTCTGTGTAGCCCTGGCTGTCCTGGAACTCACTCTGTAGACCAGGCTGGCCTCGAACTCAGAAATCCGCCTGCCTCTGCCTCCCAAGTGCTGGGATTAAAGGCATGCGCCACCACCGCTCGGCCTGCTTTAGGTTTTATTGTGACCAAACTTAAAATGTTCAGCCAAAGACAATCATGGTGGTACATATCTTGAAGATCTCTATGAGTTGCTAGCCTGGCTTACAGAGCAAATTCCAGGCCAGCCAGGTCTAAACATCAAGACCCTGGTTCAACAGATAGATAGGTAGGTAGGTGGGTGGGTGGGTGGATGGGTAAGTGTTAAGTGTTTTGTGGAAATCAATTCTTTACATATATTTATATGTGGTTTATATATGTAGAATATGATGCTGATCTTGAGATAAATGTCAAGTTCAATGTGTAGCTTATTGTTATAAAAAGATGACTCATATGGCATTAAAATTCTTCTTTCAGTTTTTGTTTCCTTATTCTCTAATTCATCCCATGAGTTATCTTGTTACCTAAAGCCCCTGCTTCCATGTGAAAATATGGAAATGCTTATCAGACGTAAGCATTATATGTATATAAAGGCTTGGGAAAGATGGAGGAGAAGCCTCTTAACTCAGTAGCCACTTACCTTACATAATCCGCCTGGTGACTCTAGAGCACTGGTTCTCACCCTGTGGGTTCTGACCCTATGAGGATTGCATATCGCATATCCTGAATATCAGATATTAAATGGTAACTCATAGTGGTAACAAAATTATAGTTATGAAGTAGTAACAAAAATAATGTTATGGTTGGGAGTCACCACAGGGAGGAATTGTATTAAGGAGATGCAGCGTTAGAAAGTTTGAAAACACTGTACTAGAGAAGCACATCTGACTTTTTAAAAAACGATTCGTTTGTTCGTTTGTTTGTTTTATGTACACTGTTGTTGTCGTCTTCAGACACACCAGAAGAGAACATCAGATCCCATTACAGATGGTTGTGAGCCACCGTGTGGTTGCTGGGAGTTGAACTCAGGACCTCTGGAAGAGCAGTCACTGCTCTTAACTGCTGAGCCGTCTCTCTAGCCCCATAATCTAACTTTTAGCTCAGTGTTTCTGTAAGAAATTAAGATGTGTTCCATGCCCTATTCTTCTGATTATTCAACGTAGTAATAAGAGCATCTAGGATGAAGATTTAGTAATTCTGTTCCTTCTAAATGGGCCTTTAAACATTTATATTGTAAAATCCCCTCTGTCAGGGCTCAGGGAACCCTGCAAAAGAAGATTTAGAAAGAATATAAGAGCCAGTGGAGATGGAGGAAAACAAGAAATCAAGGCCTTCTAAATCAACATGACCAAAACTCATGTGAACTCACAGAGACTGAGGTAGCATATACACAGCCTGCACGGGTCTGCATCAGGTGTTTAGTACATAGATATATATTTACTATTATATATGTAGTACATAGTATAATCACACACACACATATAAAGAATCACACACACACCGACTTACAGTTTAGTGGTTTTATGCAATTCCTGAGTGTTCGACTGAATAAGCCTTTGTTTCTTGGGCCTTCTCTTTTTTTCTTCTGTTACTTTGACTTGTCCAATTCCAATGTGTTAGCTTGTTGGGTTTTTTTTATCTCATTGTATTTTATTATAATCTCTTAGAAGCCTTGTTTTCTAGTGAGAGACAAAAAGGGATTGATCTGGAAGAGAGGGGAGGTAGGGAGGACCTAGGAAGAGTACAGAGGGAGGAAACCAGAGTACAGAGGGAGGAAACCATAATCAGGATCTATTATGTGAGGAGAAAAAAAACTATTTTCTAAAGAGGAAAAAAAGAAAAAATGTTGTAAAATATGTGGAACATAACTTTTGATATCTCACTCCTTATACCTGTTGATCTACAGTGACTCTGCTTTGCAGCCATCACCACAGTACATCTGTGGGCTGTGTCACTCTCCCTTCTGACACTGCATCACTGCATACCAGCTCCCCTTCCTGCCCCAAGCCTCTGTGACCTCAAACAAGTGCTGTTGTCCATGTCTGTTGCAAAGTTGTTCTCTGTCATTCTGTTCCACAGTGATTACCAATATGTGGAATTTCTGAAGACTCTACTTTTAAAAAATCATGAGTGTTTTCTAAGTATATCTCTTAATTTTGGTCATACTGATACTAGACAGACTATTTCTGTGTATTTACTATTTCTTAAGTTGACTCTTACAGATTTTAAACATTTTCCCCTCTCTCAACCTAATTGCAAGATATATTTATCTATTTGACTGTTCCTCACTGCATCTTAGCTAATGATTTTAGAAGAATGTTTGCCACAACATGATACCCTTTGCATTCCACTTTAAATTAATGTGCATTGCCTCACATCCACATTTTGAATTGAGGTGTTTGTCCTGCACCCCTAATTTAATCCTAGCAGTAGTGTAACTGTTCTAAGGCATATTGAGAATCCATACAGTTTTTAGTTCACAGTTCATTTTATCTAATAAAGAGAAAACTAAAAATAATTGAGCTTGTTTAATTTTCTCTGTGACTCAAATATAATTTTGAACAAATACAGTTTATTCATTATAAAAATATTACCTTGAGAAACTTGAGCTAGTTAACTGGTAGAGAGGTGCTACTCAGCTTTAAACACTTTGAGGTTTTCAGAAAGTGTATTTAGGAATAACAAGTATTTTACTGTAATGGTCAAAGAGGCCCATCCTGCTTGTATGAAAAGAAGCAGTGTTAATACAGTTGTTTATGAAGTCCTCTCTGTAATTACCTTTATCTGCTTTTCTCTGGTTGGATTTTATGTTTGGTTTGGTTTCTGGTGATGCTAAGGACGCTAGTAATGTGTAGGTATCACTATAAGTTTTCTGTTAGGCTATTCTCAGGCTCTCTGCCATGGACTTGTCTAGACACCACCAAAGATGGTCAGTGACTCTGTCCTGTAGAACAGCCTTTGATTGATGTTGCCTTCCAATCTATAAAGATGTTCTCTGCCAGAGGCACCACTCGAAACAGATATAATCCACATCTGTGGAAGAATCAAAGTTCTTAGTCAAACCTGCATGCAAGCCATAGGGTGATTATCTATGTATGGAAATATCATAATGTGTTTTAAACATACTTAAAGATGTAAATTTTATTATAAAAAAAGATCCTATAAGAAATTGACCATTCCTCATAACATATTCTCTTCTGAGTACACTTATACAATATAAAGTGACAACCAGGGTTACAGATGTTCTATAAATCCAGG